CCTTTTCTGATTAACACATTTTATTAAAAGGCATAAGATTTAGTGAGAAGCAGCTGTTGTAAAAAGACTCTCCTTCATATGGCTGATTTTTATAGTAATTTTAAAGTATTTACCTTCAAAGCAGCGGTTTTCAAGCAGATTGCTGGTTTTTAGTGTGCCAAGAGTTTTGTTTTTTGTTTTTGGTCTTATTCCTGAAATTCTAAGTGTATAACTTAATAAAATTGTATAACTCCCCCTGGAACCATGTCTGACACATTTAAAAATGTGTACATATGATTAATAATTTTTGGCGTGCCACAGAACTAGAGTTGTATTCAATATCCTGCAGAGAATTCCAAAAGGCTGAGAAAGTAATAATTATAGAAAGTCACTGCCATCTACAGTCCACAACCAGAATCACAATTAAAAGAAAAGAATAAAATAGTGTAAATAAAGAATGAAGCTCTTACAATCGGATTCATTTTTGCGTAGAAACAGTCAATTGCTTTGCTTCTGAATATATCTAGTAAACTGACTTAGGACCATGGTGTATTTAACACCACTGAAGTTACATATCACGCTTAAAACATAACCTGATTCCCACATTGTCACATGCTTTAAATAATGGATTGCAAACTGTACTTTTTTTCTTTGTTTTTCTTTATTTCCTGTCTTTATTTTGACAAATAACTCAAGCTGTCTAACATAACTAAAATCACGGGTGTCAAACTTGATCGTGTAATGTATGGTGACATTTTTTTTGCCTTTGCGTAGCCGGGGTGGGCATGGCCTCTGTGTGACGTTTGACACCCCTGCACTAGATCAAACTGGCTGTATGGTTGTGTCCATATGCTAAGCCCTAAACAAACCAATCGTGTTTTTGTGGTATGAACTTAGTTTGGTGTATCATTTAAATTACTGGGCTAGGACTGAGAAGCACCTGGTGGAAACCAAAGATATTCATGAAATAGGGTAAGGGTCTTTACAACCCACTAAATCAGAGGGAGTTTTGTTTGGTCGTGCTGGGCAAGCCCAACCATCACTTCCTTAATAAGTCATGGCTTAAAGTGATGTATGAGCACCACGTAGCAGTTAGCTAGTTCTACTTGAAAAGGCTGTCATAAGGGGGGGGGGAACCAGGATGAAGGAACCATATTTACTATTTTCAGCCTCTAGAGGAAAGCCAGGATACAAATGTAGGAAAATATATAATTAAAAATGGTTAGGCCATGAGGCATAACTTGGCTAAAGCTAGGCTGCAGAATGTGATTTTATTAAAATTAAAAAATTTACATTTGAGGAACCAGCTACAAGGTCTGTCAATAACCCTATTTTTATTATTATTTTTGATTATGTCCATTAAATGTGATAATACGATTAATGTCAGAAGCAAGAAGCTAAATACCTGTTACTCATTTCTTTTTACTCCAATCGGTGTTATAAACTCATTGCCCTAAAATTATTCTCCGATATATTTAAAGAAAATCTAAAATCTTCCCTTTCAGATTTCCCCCCCCCGTCTCTATTTCTTTCTTGGTTCTGCTAAACCTTACCGCCTTATAAATTTCTTTTAAGCGGTGTGTCTTCTTCAGAAGAAGGGCAGATTTGTGCATACACACCAAAGATTAATTATGGGCATATTTAAAGAAAGTTAGCTTGCGAATATCTACCTAATTTTGACTGATAATCCTATCCTGCCTCAATGTTTGCTTTGCTTCTTTAAAAATTCTTTTTATGGGCCTCTGTTAACCAAACGTTTTTGTGGCACAGCTCCATATTTAACATCTATGAGTCATCATACCTTTCCTGTTGCCTCACCAGCAGATTTATCTGATGGCTCCCAGATGCAGGATTTATGCCATTCTTGAAAGTCCCTTGCAAGTTTCCCTGAAAGCAAGTAGCATCTCTGCCTTTCTGTATTAGTCAAACAAGAGACATGAATACTTACGAACATTGACAAAGTTGATTGCAAAAAAATCCATGGTGGATTGATGATTGAAACTAAAATGATTGCTCCTACAAATAGACTGTTTAGGTTGCAGATAAGAACAGAGGAATAGACATTTATTGGTTGATGTGTGCCATCAACTCGTTGTCAACTCTTAGTGACCATATAGATTTTCTCCATGATAATCTAACCCTAACTTGGTCTTTGAAGACTTTCAATGACCTGAACACAACACAACACAACACAAACTCTGTTAAAAAAGAGAAAAGAGCCAATTTTCCCTAAGGAGTTTGGCTGCATGCTGCAAGAGCTCAGTGGAACTTATTTCTGGGTTGACATGCATAAATTGGCAAGTATATATTTTTAAGATCCGGTTCTGAATAATATTTGAGCTCAATACAATAATTGTTCCATTAGCTTATAACTAAGGAGAAACGTCCTGACAGTTAGAACAATTAACCAATGGAACAACCTGCCTCCAGAAGCGGTGAATGCTCCAACACTGGAAGTTTTTAAGAAGAGACTAGACAGCCATTTGTCTGAAATGGTGTAGGGTTCCTGCCTGAGCAGGGGGTTGGACTCGATGACCTCCAAGGTCCCTTCCAACTTTATTATTATTATTATGGATCATCGCACAGTCAGCCAGATGTTCAGACTGGATTTGGCATTTTGTCTACCTATCGAGTCCTTACCCAGGACCTGGGATAGGCAGATGTGGATGTTTGATGGTATTACAGATATCGTCGCAGGATGGAAGCAGTTCCTAGTAAGGCCGCCTTTTGCAATTGACTAATAGCGAATTTGTCAATGCCAATGGTGTTCAAGTGGTGCTCCAGTTGTTTTGGGATTGCACCCATATTATTATTATTATTATTATTACTACTACTACTACTACTACTACTACTACTACTACTACTACTACTACTACTATTATTATTATTATTATTATTATTATTATTATTATTATTATTATTATTATTATTATTATTATATAGTTGACTTTGGTCATTGACCAGCCTTATGTAAGGATTGATTATGGGCCATCATATTCTTTTCAACTCCTAGCAACCACAATGATAGATTTTCTCTGTGACAATCTATCCCTAATGTGGTCTTTCAGGTCTTCTAACAATGCACTCTTCACCGCCATAACTGACTCTTATCTTGCTGTTGGTTGTCCTCTTCTCTTTCCTTTCACCTTTCCCAGCATTATGGTCTTCTCCAGAGAGCTGGGTCTTCACATAATGTATCCAAAATTGGGTCATTTCTACGTCTTAGCAAAGTACATTTTCCTCAGCATCCTTTCCTTGCAAAGAAAAGACTTTGGCAGAAAGCGCACATAGATTTCTGCAGCCAAATGTGCAGGGCGGGAACATCCACTCGGCTGTTCCTACTAGCAGGTTTTGCAGTTGAAAACTTACGCACACTTCAAGAACATGTTTATTTAATTTACTGTAGCCTTCTCCTGACCTAGAGGCGTACATAAGACTTGGCTGCAGAAACTGCGGTAGAGGTTATTTCCCTCTTTGAAAAACTCAAAAATGGCAGTTTGTTTTTTTTCCAGCTATTACATATGAATTTACATACAGTCAGTGGATATTTACTACCCCCAAGTCAGACCTACTGTGGCTTACTGATTTTTATTTACTGCCTTAAGGTTTTAAGTAATTTAACGGAGGTTGAAATTTAGGAGATGAGCACTGTAGATTAGAACTAATTCAGTGGACCGATTAAAGCAGGAGAACTCCCAGCAGCTCAGCAACAGGTTTATAATCCAGATGTTATGCACACTTCAATGAAGCACACAGATGATACACAAGGCATGCAGGATTCAGTCTTTTCCTGAGTCAGAGACAATGCCTGGCTACGACTGATTCTATGCCATCATGAAAACAAACTACAGGACACAGAACCCATTAATGGGTAAACGCCTGGTACAAATTCTGCCCCAAGCTAAATAAACTGTGATTTATATGCAAAACAGATCAGGTGTCAGGCCGGTATTTGTCACTGTATCACTTTGGCAAGGGTATTGAACCAGCTGAGTTGAACCCAAAGCATTGTTGGCTTAGCTGTTCACCTCCACGATTTCCACGCTCCTCCGCCAAATAGAATAATAATTTTATTGTCACTTTGAATGTACACCAATCGGCTTTCCTTAAAATGAAATTTCGTTGCATTCAGCTCTCAAAGGGTCACCACCTCCGATATACACTATCTAAATATGACAAAAATAAATAAACACACAGAATTATGCATATACCCACATGTATTATATGACAAAGAGAAACAACACAGTCTAATTCAGGTTCTGTATACACGTGCATGGCGAGAAAAACGAATCTTGCGAGTTTACCAGACTGATGGTATAGGGGAGGAGTCCCCCAATCCCTGGACCAGTACCGGGCCACGGCATGCCAGCAACCAGTCCACACAAACAAGCAAAGCCCCATCTGCGGGATGCAGGCAGTACACAAAACCATGCACCCTCCGGTCCACGGAAAAACCTCTCTCCACGGAACGGGTCCCTAGGGAACAAAGCTATTACAGAATCCGGTAGTCCTGCTAGAAATACTTCAAAACCTGCTTCCAGAGGGGAACAACAGAAACAGGTACCATAAAGTGGGCGTGTGTGGGGAGGATCTCTAACAACGCTTTGAGCTCTAAGCACACATATTTCTTGCCACGGGTGCCTATTCCTAGGGGAGAGGCTATCGCCCACGCTCTTGCGCTCGAATAAGGCGTGCACCCACTCACGCGCCCGCGACTACCACCTGTCTTCCCTTTCCGACGTGCAGCTTCCCCGCGTGTCGCTCCCCTCCCTCCCCGCGCGGTCTCTAGGCGCCCCGGAGAGCTTTCCTGTTTTGCATAGCTCCCGCGGATGGACCAATAGGCGGGCGAGAAGCCCTCCCTGCATTTGCATAGTGGTCGTCGCGGGCCAATGGGCTGGCAGGTTTGGAGCGTGTTTGGAACGCGGCGTTGCATCCCTCCGGCGAGCGGCGCCGAGCGTGGGGAAGGGAGCCTTTCGCGAACGGAGCCCGTCCCGGGAGTGGCCTTTGCTCTTTGCGGGGACTGGAGACTTGGGAGTTACGCCGCCGCCGCCGCCGCTACTACGTCCCGAGGTGGGAGCATGTCGGTGGCGGGCCTGAAGAAGCAGTTCCATAAAGCTAGTCAGGTGAGCAGAGCCAGCGCGGAGGAACCCTAAGGGAGTTTAAAAAACGCAACCCGCCTCGCAGACCTGAGAGCGTGAGGGCACAGGCGCCCCCCGTAACTGGGCTCGCACGACGCGTTAACCCTCTGTAGAGTTTGTTGCTGCGTAAACCCATACGGGATGGTTCCTGCACGATAACACCGCGTGGGACGTGCCTCCCGCGGGTTTGCTCTGTAAACCACGATTAAACCAGCGATGGCCTAGCGGGTTGTGTGAAAGAGATCCTTGGAGGAGGATGCATAGAGCGGAAGTTAGGGAGGAGAGGCTGTAGCCTTGTCCGAACTGGATTTTCCTGCCAACTTTTCCTTTTGATATTTAGAGACGGGTGGCAAAGAAATCTAATGAATAAATTGAGATCTGCGTCTAATATATGATATGATATGATATGATATTATTCTATACTATTCTATACTATACTAATACTATACTATACTATACTATACTATACTATACTATACTATACTAATATATTATATTATACTATACTAATATTATTATATTATATTATATTATTATATTATATTATATTATATTATATTATATTATATTATATTATATTATATTATATTATATTATATTATATTATATATTATATATTATATTATATTATATTATATTATATTATATTATATTATATTATATATATAATATATATAATATAAAGTATATATATATACACAGACAGACAGACAGACAGACACACAAACACACACACACACACACACACACTTTATCCCTTCCCCTTGGGAGGGACCCTCATTCTCCAGGAATTGTCTCCATAACTCCGAGCAAAGTCAAGTTGGCAACCTCACCTGCTCAGTGCTGGAACAAATTTCTGTGCCTTTGTACGAAAGACGGGGGCTCACATATTTTTTTTCTCAAATATTCTTGAGAAGGTCGCATGTGTGAAGGGATGCTAGAGGCCAAAGGAATTCCCAAGCAGCCTTTGGGGCGGTCCTGCTTACGGAGGGATAGCAACCAGTTCCTCTCCTCCATGTTTACTTTCCCAGCAAGCCCATCTGGGAATTCGCTTCTCTTCTCTCACTTGAGGTGTTGAGCCGCGTTGCTTTGAAGGTGATGGAGTTGGCTGGGTGATGAGTTGGCTGCAAAGGACTGCAGTTTCTGTTGCTTTAATCCTTATCAGGGTGTGTTGCTTCATCATATTCTTCTCCGGTGCTGGATAGGTGATCTCTCCATTGATTTTTAGATCCCTGTTGCCCCTTGGTGGGGGCTAGGTTCCTATGCGTTGCTTTTCTTTTCTTTTCTGGATAGGATTTTTTTTCCCCAATAAGGGATACCCTGGAACTGCGTTTCTTCTTTGCAACTTTAAGCTATGTGGACTTAAACTCTTAGAATTCTCCAGCCAATCATGCTGGCTGGGGAATTCTGGGAGTTAAAGTCTGTATCTATGGGGAGCATCTCGATTGGGAACAGCTATTTTAATTGGTTTCCCCCCCCCCCCTCTCCATTTCTGCAGGGTGAAAAGCTAGTAAAATGAAACCTGGGCAAAGAGAAACCTGCCATTCAAAGTTGGGTTTCTGTCTAACTTTTTGATCTCGATTATGCTTATCCTCAACCTTCATGTGGAGTTTTTAATGAGAAGGTTTTATCCTTAAAACAACCAATGGGGGCTAGGTTAGGCTGACCAGTAATATTTGACACAAAGTCAGAATCTTGAAGACCCTTATTCCTTCTTGGCCTGAGACCCCAACCTGTACGACACACTGTGTCTCAGTCAATATAACTTTGAGAGTTGTATGCAACGAAATTTCATTTTAATGTATGCCAATTAGTGTACATTCAAAGTGACAATAAAGTTATTATTCTATTTCTATTTCTATTTCTTATTCTATTTCTATTTCTATTTCTTATTCCTAATTTCTATTCTATTCTATTCTATTCTATTCTATTCTATTCTATTCTATTCTATTCTATTCTATTCTATTCTATGTAAGGGTTGCATACTGTTAGTGTCTCTTCTTTTCTTAAGCAGAATGACAATAGTTATCTCTAGCATCTGAAGGAAGTAGAAAAGTATTTTCCTCTAGTCTTTAATATGCTAACAAGTATGAGATGGTCTAATAGTCTTTATCTGGTGCTTAGATAAGGAAAGATTAGTGTTGTACAGTAAAAGAATCTGTATTTGCGTATCAGACTAGTCAGTCAAAGTGCACTGAGTCAGACCCAGTCCTGATGACTACATGAATTAAATGCCCTCAACTTTAACTCAACCTATCCCTGGTCTGTAGGATGTTCCTGTGATTTTGATGCTGTCCATTCCGTTTATTATCCTTTGCCCTTTTTCATCTTTTGCTTCTTTCAATCTTGTCAAACATCACTTTTTTCTAGTTCATCATAATTGTTATTACATGCAGAAGGCCTGTGAATATCTGTTGCTAATCTTTGTCTTAGGGGGGTTTAATTGATTGCTTGATTATGTGCTATCAAGTGCTTTTCCTGACCAAATAGCTGGATTTGCAGACCATGGTGAGCTGTTGCTGACCTTTTATTTTAGATTAGGGAAATAGACAGTTTTTATTTTTGGTCATAGTAGGACTAACTTATTGGTTCTTCTTGTAGTCCATGATAAGATAAGATAACCTTTATTGTCATTTTTATACTGTGGGCACAATGGCACACATCAAAAATGAGATTTAGTTGCCCGCTCTCAAAGTGAAACACATACATGACACACACCTAAACATACTATGAACAACATATACATCCCTACATATACGTAGCAAATAAATATTAAATATTGTCCATCTTGAATATATAACGGAAGAAGGAAGCTTGAGAGTTCACAAGGTTAATGCTTTTTGGAATGAAACTCTGGCTGAATCTGGATGTTCTACTTCGGATACTACCAGTATTATCCCAAATCTATCTTCCCTGTCTTTCTCTCAAAGTTTAATTTTCAACATTGGACGTTATCCTTGGAAAGTCTGCTTCTTTGAATCTCGTCTCAGGCCTTCATTGCATTCCTCCATAAATTTAATCTTGTCCTTATTCCTTGAGTACAGAACACTAACTATTGTTGAGCTCGGGAAGACAAAATGATATGTCATCTTCTTGTCATGAGTTCATTTCATTGGTGGTTGATGTTACTTTGGGCTACCTAATGTGTATCATTAATCTAGTTTTTTAAACTTTCATCCCAAGCTCGTCTTAATCCTCTTTATTTTCAGCCAACAAAATGCCATCATCTGCGTATCTCAAATTGTTAGGGGTTCAGCCTCCAATTTTCATTCCAACTGCCCCATTGTTCAACCTTGCATCCAATCTTGCATTTGTATACATTAAGTGAACGTAGAGACAATATGCTCCCTTGTCTTTCTCGCATTGCTTTTCTGAGTCTCTCTGTTTTTTTCCAAACTCAGTTCTTACAGTAACTATTTGTTCATTGTAAATGTCCTTTGGGAAAAAATAATAATAATTAGACGTTCTGATACAGACATTAAGCCTTAATCATTTTGACACCCGTTCAATGCTTCAAATTCCATTCAGAAGGAATATGAGGGAGAATGAACATGACAGCTATCCATGACAGCGGGATGGGCAGCATATACATTGTGTGCTACCTGCATCCCGCTTCGCGTGTTTGCGCGGACCGGTTGCTGGCATGCCATGGCCCGGTACCGGTCCACGGACCGGGGGTTGGGGACCCCTGTCTTAGTATACTGTTTCTCAACCAAAGCAATTTCCAAATGTGTGAACCTCCATTCCCAGAATTCCACAGTCAGCATCAGCACAGAATTCTGGGAGTTGAAAGCCACATAATGTTAGGAAACACTGGCTTAATAAAACAGGTAACCCAAGCCATGCTTTTGAGAGAACCGGGTTTTCTTTTTCAAATTTATTTTATAAATGACGTCGGAAGCTGTGATGGAAAACAGTCTTCAAAATTAAACCGGTGCTGCCCTTTTCTCTTGACTGTCCCCAGAGGTTTAGATGTAAGTTGTTTGACTTTCCTGGGTCCCGTTTTTTAAAAGAAACGTTACTGCTTATTCCACAAGTAAGTTACCGTACTCATCTGAATGGGGCAGCTGTTATGCCTCTTTTCTGAGGTCAAGAACAAAAGAGGCATTATTCATGAAGTTTGACTAACCACAACGTAAGCAAAGAGCCGAGCAACGCGCATACAATAACTCTGTAATGCATCTCAAGAGTATAAAATATTCTCCGTGGGTTGTCCTGGATTCATTACACTGCTGAGTCATAGATAGCTGGACACGTAGATGAGGTAGCCCCTGACACAGTCGCAAGAATAAAAAGCATAGCTTTGTGTAAAATATGTACGTGCTAATTTATGGGTAGAGATGCTGATTTACTAATAATTACTATCCTGCTGGCAAAAATGGAAAAAACCAGAGATCCACATTTTTGGAGATCTCTCTCTCTCTCTCTCTCCCTCCCTCTCTCCCTCCCTCCCTCCCTCTATATCTCTATCTATCTCTATCTATCTATCTCTCCTTATCTCTCTCTCTCTCTCTCTCTCTCTCTCTCTCTCTCTCTCTCTCTCTCTCTATATATATATATATATATATATATATATATATATATATATATATATATATATATATACATATCTCTCTCTTGGCTTTTGTTTATTGAGAAATCAGAAGTTGACTTGAGGCGCATTGTTCAGGACCAAGATTGGAATGACCCGATTGAGATATAGAAATGAGGTCACCGTTCAGGTGGAAATCCAGAAAGTGAGGCTTGCTTTCTCTAGCTAGGATTGATTGCTGAGTGCCCATTTACAGTACTTTATTTGAGCTTTGTGCAAGACAATCTGGAACATTTTGTGCCTGCGAGAGGTTTGAATCTTGAAATTAAATTAGGGAGCAGCAAAATGCAATTTAGATGGAACATCACGTCCCCCGGACCGGTTGACACTGGTGAAAATATCTTTTTACGTGTTCATTCTGAGCCTACACATTGAAACATAATTGCGGGCTACA